GGGAAAGGTCCTGCGGGGTCTATTTGCTAAACTAAAGGCCATCTGGTCCGTGGGATCAAGTATGTCACTAAGGGGACAGCAGCACTGCTGACACAGACGGAACTCTCTCTTCCTACGGGGCAGAAGTTAAGAACGTTGTCTCTCGCATTTGAGGGCGTAGTACTTAGTAGAGACGGGAGTTATTTAATTAAAACAGAGCAAACTTTTTCACTGCCAGGTTTGGGAAATGTACCCACTGAGAGATTTCAAAAGCAGTCAGCCACGTTTGGGGTGATTTTTTATATGTAATGTAACATGTGGTGTGAAATGTATTTGTAATATGTGTGTGTGTGTGTGTGTGTGTGTGTGTAGAGAGAGAGAGAGAGAAAGAACAAGAACAAAATTAATTCATAAGATAAGGCAAATAGGATTTGGTTCAGCAAGCACAGTCAGTTTGCACACAAAATGCTTGGAGGAGCAGAGATAGATTCTTTCCAGTTTCGACATTTCTGACAAATGCCAGAAAGAGAAGGTGCTAAGGTGGGGTCTGCACCTTGACTCACTGGCTTTGCTCCACTCATTACTATGAAGCCTTTAAGCAAAAAACCAGATCCATGTGCTCACAAATGGAAAAAATGTTGAAAAAGCACGTTGCCGACCGCGGGGCATGGCTCTCAGGCCACAGAACATAAACGAGCCAGAACGGGAGCCTGTTGCTCTCTGATGTGGCTTTTCATCTCCAGTCCTTGCTCCGGCAGGTGGTGGAAAACTATATCCTGCCAACTCCAGGCAAGCCTGATCGCTTCAGGTTTCTCTCAGAGAATTCCGGTCAATCAGGGCACTTGTGCTCTCCTCCCCTGGCCTCCCCAGAGAGACGACTTGGGTCTCTGGAGCCCTCCCTCGTGCCACGGCCAAAAATGCAGGTCCCCTCTCCTCCCAAAACCTCAGATTTGTTTTGAAGGGTCAGATATCCCACCAACCAGAGCGGGGACAGCTGGTTCTCCTCCAATGTCCATTGTCACCACTTCCTTGGTAATGAAACCCCAGTTTTATGTGAGGTCCACAAGCCCCCTGGTTTCCTGTTCTCTCTAGATGTGCTGCTGGCTGGTGAGACACAGGGCCTAAAGGAAGACCGTCCTCCTCCTTGTCCCCCATCTCCTGTGATGCATATACCCGAGGTAGGGGTGGCTGTAACCAGTGATTTCCAGAAGCCACCTGGGGAGGGAAGTCCTGCGCAGCACAGCAGTGAACCAGCGGCATTGGCCCCGCTCTGTGCCACCCCACCAGCTCTGGGGGCCATCCTCCAACTTCTTAAACATGAGAAAGAAATAAACTATCTTGTGAAAGACCTTGATATTTGGAAGATTCTGGTAACTCAGAGGCAAACTTAAGCCAGACTTCACCCTTGGGAGCCAGAATAGGAGGACCAGACCCCAGAACATGTTCTCAAAGACCAGCACCTGGCCCTTCAGCTTTTCTCTCCGTGGCCCTCCGGGCCCAGAGCACTGTTGTCTCTTCCCCTGATGGGCGGGAGATGCCTTCTGTCCTGTCCTGAATCTCCACCAGCCTGAGCAGACAACCTAGGTGCCAAGACCTGCATCTTTTGCTTTCTGGCTTATCTGTGACAGCTCAGCGTGGGGCGATAGCTGCTGTTCATGGCAGCCAGAGTTGGGGTGCAGAAGGGGAGTGGGGGGAGATGCACATCCTTCGTGCTCCCAGACTCAGCTTGCCCGATATTCCCAATATTCCCTGCCATTCGGGTATTGAGAGGCAAGATGGAGACTCAGCCCGCTCTCAGCAGTGCCCCCGTGTGAGGTCAGGTGGGGAGTGAGCACCTGATCCTCCCTCCATATGATTCTGCCAGATGGTGGGTTTTGAAGTGATTTTCTTTGTGTGTGTATGTTTCTTGGTGTTTTTAAGTTTTAAAAATCAAGAGGCAGGAGTCAGGAAAGGTGCAGTTTGATAATTGTGGAGAACTTCCACAGCCCTCGCCAATGGGGTCCAGAAGATCTAAAGTCAAGGCCCAGTTCCTTGCTTTATTAGCACAAGCCACTTACCATCTCTGAATTTAGCTTTCTCAATTTTGAAATGCAGATAATAATACCAGCTTTAAAATGTTGCCATGGGGCACCTGGGTGGTGTCCGACTCTTGCTCTCAGCTCGGGTCGTGATCTCGTGGGTCTTGGGATCAAGCCCTGCATCAGGATGCTTGCTCAGTGGGGAGTCTGCTTGAGATTCTTGCTCCCTCTCCCTCTGCCCCCCACCAAATAAATCTTAAAAAATAAAAATACAATAAATAAAATGTTATTGCCGTGACTGAATGAGCTCCCATCTGTGAATGCATCTTTGAAAGGTGTCTTTGTACGAATCCTAACCCCACGTCTCTGATTTGCTCTGGCGACATCTGAGAACATCAGGCATTCAACCTTCACCTTCACAGACGACATAGAGGTGGAGCAGACACTAGGACACAACCAGGCACAGGGAGGGAGCTGGTCGGATGGCTCGGTTTCCTCTCCAGCTAGAGACAATTGACTCCCGTGTATGATACAGATACAGGGCCCATGTTACATGGAGCCTGACGTGATGTCCCCAGGTGATGCTCTTCAGCTTTCCATATCCTTCTCACCACATCCTCAGAGCCACCTGGAGGTGGGCGCCAGGAGGACACAGAGGCTTGGACAGTTAAAGAGCTTGCTTCCATCCATAAAATCAGCAGATGGTGGAGGAGATGTGGGAACCACTTCTGGGTCATAGCAGAGTCCAGGCTCTTCCCATGACTTCATGTCGCCTCACTAAGGCGCCATGTCCTAGGCGCAAGGCTGGAAGTGGGGCTTCCTGCCCTGCCATCACACCCGCCCCTCTTGGGCAGTGTCCCAGGTCCTCCAGTCCTCACTTGCTTTTACGTAATGAGTGGCCCCATCCCCATCACTTGAGGACCAATGTGTGGTTTCCCTTCTTCCATCTTCCCTTCTGCCATCTCAGTGATTGGCCTTCAAGACCCACAGTATGAAATCTCTAAAGGTTGCATGTTAGGCACTGAAGACATGTTTGGGGCAGGGCTGGGGAGGTGATTTTCCAGATCCTCCTCATGTCCCTCCATCCGCTGAGAAGCTCAGCTGCCTTGTTCCTCCACGCCCACCAGCACAACATGACTCACCTCCCAGGGAGCTCCTGGGAGTTCCTGGTTGGGCCATTGGAAGCGTAGCCTGCCTGCAGCTGTCTGCGGGCTTTTCTGAGAGCCCAGGATGACCAAGGCACACAGCAGGCACTCATCACTTGTTTGCTGAACTCATAGTACCCCATAACCTTGCCCCCCAGAGGAGGAGCCCAGGGGCCTCACTCCACGTCCTCACAGGAGGTCCTTAGATGTCCTGACACTTGTGTCACACCTTCCCAGCTCTCCCAGTACTTAGACATCACCTATCTCTGTGACCGACTTCTCTCCGCCTTCACACTACCTGACAATCCCCCCCTCCACCCTCACTCCGTCTGGATTGACGGTGGCTCCATTGTGGCCACACGGAGGGCGGCGAGGAGGAAAGGACAGCCTGTGCCTCTCCCTGACAAGACAGGCAACATTTAAATACACTTTCTGTAGGTGGGCTCCACTTAAAACCTGGTCACCAGGACCAAGCCTCCCTGCCCCCCACCACTCCCAGGAGAGCAGGTGAACATACATGCCTGAGGAGGAGGCTCCTCAGCGCCCCCTCCACACACACACTCTCTCTTCTTTGTCTAAAGCCTCCTCAGAAGTTTCATCAGAGGCTAAGAAAGATCAGAGAGGACATGTAAGAAAACAATTTGAAGTCCACAGTTTACATATTTGTTACCAGTGAAGAGTATATATGTTATGGTCGGAAAGATAAGATATTGGGGAAGGGACTTGCTGGAGGGAAACAGAAATGAAGCACTGGTCCCCTCCATGTATCCAGATGGGTTTTAAAATAGAATTCAGAAGACATGGCTTCAACATGGCTTTGACATGGCTTCCCTTCCCTTCCTTTCCCTTCCCTTCCGTTCCTGTCAAGTGCAAAGCTTCAGGTTCCAAGTAACCAATGTCCATTCTCAAAGGAAGACCAAATGCTGCTTATACCTGACCGCCATGGTTTCATGTCCTGGAGACCATCACTGAGCTTAGCCCATTAGGCCAGAAGTGTTTGTAACACAAGCACCTGTCTTTCACCCGCCTTTTTTCACCTGGCCTCCCATTCACATTAGAAACTTTGTTTCCCAATGTGCTCTGAAGGCTGGCTATCATGTTGTTTGGTTTATCTCACAGGTAAAGAAATTTTAATATAAACCTTCTGGTGTACTCTAGGAACAAAATCACTTCTTCGACCAGAACAGGAACCATTTATAACTCACAGTACACCGAACTCCTTTTGATGTATTTACTAGAATATTTTGCAGTTGGCATAGGAGTTAAACTTCTAGAATCACCATCAAGAACAAAAACCAAGAGTGAAATCAAATACAATATTCCTGGAGCAAAGGGGACAAAAACTGCTTCCTAAAAATGTTACAGTTCTTCTAGCCTTCAGAGAAGGATCATATTTCCAACATGATTCAGGTACCATTTGCAGGAAGTGCCGCCATATTTGAAAACAAAGTGCCCTTCAAGAAGGCAACATATTAAAATACTTTTGCCAAGATAGATACTACAGATACAATGACATTTGCTTTCAAATAGTGAATAAAACAACACTGCCTTTAGGAAACCAGTGACAGAGGCCTCTTTTATAGTAATATTTAAATTCTATTGGATCTTCCAAATATTTCAGATAATTAAATAACTGGTAACCACCGATAGTTCTCGCCAGGAAAAGTAAGTAGATAAAAGATAGGGCTTTGGGAGATTTCAAAGAAAGAAAATAAAGCAAAGCACATTTAGTGTTCTTTAGGCTATTGGTTTAGGGGCAGGCAAGTGTGAGGAAGAGCACAGAGAAATCAGGGTTTCTTTTCTTCAGATGAAAACCCCATCTTCCTCTCTGCCACTCAGTCCCTGTGAAGCATCTCTCTCAGGTGCCAGCACGTTCTGATGTTTGGATCTGAAGGTAAATCGTGTTTTCTTTGGGCTTTGCTATCCTGTAGGAGCCAAAAATAAAAGTGAAAGTTAAAATAAACAGTCAATGTTTTGATTTTGATTAAGAAACTATTGCAGGGCTCCTGGGGGGCTCAGTTGGTTAAGTGTCTGACTCTTGGTTTCAGCTCAGGTCATGATCTCAGGATCGTGGGATCAGGTCCCGTGTTGGGCTCGTGCTCAGCTCGGAGTCTGCGTAAGACTCTTTCTCCCTCTGTCCCTTCCCCCTGCTCTCTCTGTCAAATAAATAAATCTTTAAAAAAAGAAAGAGAGAGAGAAGGAAAGAAGGAAAAAACTATTGCCAAAAAAGAAAGAAAGAAAAAGGAAAGGAAAGAAAGAAGAAACTATTGCAAAGCTGTCTGTGGGAATAAATCTCAAAACAAAAGGTGGAAATGAGATTAGCAAGCAACAGAGGCCAGCAGAGGGCGGTCTCAAGAATGAGCAGGTGTCTATGGACAAATTGTACTGAAATGGCTTAAAATCTGCTAATCAACATTAGCTCTCTGTGTTTACAGTTAAAATAGAATGTTTGTTTCTTATCAGTACTGAGACACCCAGAATTTCTCAAAGTCAGGTTTAGTTAGCACTTAAATGCACTTGGTTGGCGGAGTTTATTAAAAGCACAGATTTCCTGGGTCCCACCCTTCATTTACTAAGTCAAAAACCTTAGAAGACGGCCCAGGAATCTGCATTTCAGTAAACTTCTTTTTTGGTGATTCTTCTGCATACCTAGTTTTGAGACTCACCAAGGAGTTCACACAAGATGCGAGAAGAATGGAGAAAAAAAATGGCACACACCTACTGTGTGCCAGGCGATCGCTTGGTCATCTACTTTATCTTAAAATAATAAAATGTCATCTACTTTATCTTCAATAAAAAATAAAATGTCACCTACTTTACCTTACTGCATTTTCCCAGCAACCCTCCAAACTGAGTACTAGTGTGGCTCTTTCTCAGGCAAAGAAGTTCACTCTCTGTGAGTTTCAGCAACATCCCCAAAGTCACATGGACACGTGGATGACTGGATTTGAGTCCATGTCTCTCTGACGCCACAGACCATTGTCTCTCCTCATCACAGGGACACATGTGTCTTTCCTATGGAATCCACAGAATGAGTCTGGAGGGGAAGCTAAGTGGCCACCTCCTCGAGCACTGTTTATTCCTTTCCTTTCTTACCACTTTAAGAGTAGCATCTGAGGGGCATCTGGGTGGCTCAGTCCGTTAAGTGTCCGACTCTTGCTTTCAGCTCAGGACGGGAGCTCAAGGTCATGGGATCCAGCTCCCATTGGGCCGCGTGCTCAGCAGAGAGTCTGCTGGAGCTTCTCTGCTTCTCCCTCTGGCCCTTACCCCCATACTCACTCTCACTCTATCTATCTCTCTTTCTCAAAAAACAAAAAATGAAAAGAGAAGCATCTGAGGCTCCATTAAAGCACTTGTCCCTGGTACAGGAATGAATGTTTTAAATTGTTCTCTTTTGTAAAGAGAGTCACTAAAGAGCCTGAACCAACAATTGTTGAAAGGACAGAAGATTGATTTAAAAAACGTTCCCAACACAGAGCAGTTCGCTCCAGGGATGAGCTAGGGACTTGGTCCTCGGTCAGTCAGCATCTCAGACACAGATTCTCCATCCCACAGTTTAGAACAGATAACCGACCACTAAAAACACGTAATTGTGCTCTCCAGTCTCTCCTTACCCAAAGCCACTGGTTGTTTGTTTTTCTCTCCAGCAACTCTAGGAGTAATAAAAAATGCACACCATACCTGCAAAGCTCCTACACCCTTAAGACCAAGAGAGGACATGGAGGCACAGGGCCCTGAGTCCCTGAGCACCATGGCCTTACCTCCCGAGGTTCTCTGCATCTTCAATGGTCTCTGGCAAGGTGACACCTTTGGTCTCAGGAAGAAGCAACGTCACTCCTCCAGCAACCAGGCCCAACACCGCTTCAAAGGAAACAGAGTTCACATAGAGCCCTTAGAACACAGCCAATGGCATTCCGAGGGATGCCAGCCGCTAACTAAAGGTTAACCAGGTAATGAACCTGGTTTTTAGAAGTCAGGAGCATCTCGGGAAAAAGTTGAACAATAGGATTACTGGGAAAATGTCAGAGTAAGAATAAGGAATATTGTCTTCATTTTACTTCTACATAAATTCTACCATAACTGATGTTTAAGTATTAGGGAATTTACTTATTATTATACATAATATGTATTATATTGATTATAGCTACTGTATATAAAACTATACATACTAGATAATTATAATGTATTATTTTTATATATAATACATATTATAGCTACTATAAACTATAAAATATACTATAGTTACTATATGTTAATATTATATTACTATATATGATATGAAGCATAAAGAATATATTTTGGGGGTCACCTGGGTGGCTCAGTGGGTTAAGCCTCTGCCTTCGGCTCAGGTCATGATCCCAGGGTCCTGGGATCGAGCCCCACATCAGGCTTTCTGCTCAATGGGGAGCCTGCTTCCCCCTCTCTCTGCCTACCTGTGATCTCTGTCTATCAAGTAAATAAATAAAATCTTTTAAAAAAAAAGAATATATTCTGGTCAGGGTGGGCCACTCTTGTTTCTCCCTCCCCTTTCCTCCTCCCTTCTTTCCTCCCCAATCCTTATTTCTCTCCCCTCTCTCCTCCCAAAGTCAGGTTTAGTTAGCACTTAAATGCACTTGGTTGGCGGAGTTTATTAAAAGCACAGATTTCCTGGGTCATTAAACCCCTTGGTGGGTCTGCCTGGGGCGCAGACACAGCAGCTCTCTGCACACAGACAGCAGTTTTGCCTTCTGCCAAACAGGTAAGCTGGGTCTTGGAAGACCCAAGGTCTTAGTCTGGGGAGGAGGAAAAGTGTTCTCCTCCTGCTCTAATCCAACATTATCACTAACAAAGCTAATACCTCTTTGTGTCTATTCTCAATTGTTAAGCAAAAGAAGGGTGACAATTTAGCATCTTCAAGCCTCCCACAATTACATGTTATATGCACAAAAATTGGGAGTCAAATTCCTAAGAAAGCGGGAGGCTATATCAAAATGCCTCCCAAATTTTGTCCTATGGGATGAATTATTGGGCTCTAGAACCTTAAGACGTAACATCTGGCCTGCCTTCTGGGAATGGCATCTTATCTTTCCCATGAAATAAGACAGAGTGAGCCAGGAGACGACAGAAGGGCAGGCACCGTCCTTGTCTCCTGTAAACTCACCAGAGGATATCATTCACTGGTCAAAGAGGTCTTAAGCAATCATGCTGGGCTGGAAGGAAAGAATAATGAATAACCCATGAAGTCTTACCAAACAAAATGAGTGGCAAGCCTTGCCAAACCTCCATCAGCCTGAAGACCAGGAAGGGGGTGATGATTCCACCCAGATCACACAGGGAGGAACACACCATCACCCCAAGATTCCTGGTAAAATACAGAGAACAAAAAGGATGATATGTCTGTGATTCAACTTTCCAGATGTTAACCTTATCCTAGAGCAAGAGCAGGGAGGGGAGAGAGGCTGGAGATAGAGTTAATCACCAATGACCAATGATTTTTAATTAGTCATGCCTATGTAACAGAGCATCCATAGAAACCCCAAACTATAGGTTCAGAGAGCTTCTGGGTTGGTGAAAATACCCATGTGTTGGGAGGGGAGCCCACCCCAAGTCTATGAGGACAGAATCTCCTACAGGGGACAAAAGGTCCTCCTGTGCTCAGGGGACCTTTCCAAACCTCACCCTAAGTACCTCTGCATCTGCATTTATAGCCTTTGTTATGTCCCTTATGATAATAAACCCTAAATGTAATTAAGTATTTCTCTGAGTTCTGTGAACCATGATAGCAAATTATTGAACTTGAAGAGCAGGTTATGGGAATCCTGATTTATACCAGTGAGTCAGAAGTGCAGGTGACAGCCTGAGACTTGTGCCTGGCATCAGAGGTGGGGGGGCAGTCTTGCGGGGCTGGGCCCTTAGCTTGTGGGGTCTGCTCTTAACAGTTAACCAGGGGGTTAACGTCAGAATTGAATAGGATACCCCAGTGGTGTCTGGAGACTTGGAGAATTGGTTGGTGTGAGTAGAGTTCTTTTTTCACATGAAGAGATAGGGAAGGGTAGCGAGAAGGTATTGAGAAATAGAGAACAAAGAAAGCTAGAGGGGGGAATAGAGAAAAGATCTACCTGGAAGGATCCCCTCTATCCCTTGTAATGGTCTTTGCCCTGACACCCACTCTGTCTTCTGTGAAGATGGTCACTTTTGATTATTGTTTGCATGGAATGTGCTATTCCATCTCTTTACTCTTAAACAATCTCCACCACTATATTTTTTTAAGATTATTTATTTATTTATTTGATAGACAGAGATCACAAGTAGGCAGAGAGGCAGGCAGAGAGAGAGGAAGGGAAGCAGGCTCCCCGCTGAGCAGAGAGCCTGACGTGGGGCTCGATCCCAGGACCCTGGAATCACGACCCGAGCTGAAGGCTTCAACCCACTGAGCACCCAGGTGCCCCGCCACTATATTTAGAGTGAGTTTCTTGTAAGCGGTACACAGTTGGGTCTTACTTTCTTGTCGTGTCTGACAATCTTCACCTTCTAACTGGGGTGTTTAGAACATTCATATTTCTTGTGACTATTGATAAATTTCACATTGTTTAGTGCTAGATATTTTTGTATTCCTATAAATAATCTTGACTTTGTTTTAAAAATATGGTGAAATTAGGAACAATAAACTGGGAAAAGCTTTATTCTTTAGTACATTACTTTTAAGTCTCCATTATGCTCATTTGCATAATCTCTTTCTCCCTACAATTGTAATTATAAAAGTAGTGCATTGCATTTCCTTTCCAAACCCCCACCACTACCTCATCTTAGTTGGTTATATCATTTCTTAGTGTTTGCCATTATATTTTTAAATATATTTATAACTTACTTTATCAGTGTTTAATGATATGTTTTTTCTTAGCTGGAAATAGAGGAAATTATATGCAAAATTATCTATCCCTGTTTTATGGAAAGATTGTAATAACAACAGCAGATGTTGAATTTTATTAAATGCCCTTCACTATCTAAAGAGATAATAGTATTTTTATTTTATTTTATTAAATGCCCTTCACTATCTAAAGAGATAATAGTATAGCTTTAATTTATTAGCTCTATAAAAACTCTTTCAATATACTAGCATGAATTATATTATTAGATTTTTTTAATACTGAACTGTCTTTGTGTTCCTGAATAACTCATCTTAGATATGATATATTATGATTTTAATGTCTCCACTATTCTCTTCTGATAATATGTTGTTTGGGATTTTAATCAATATTCACACATAATATTTGCCTATAGTTTCCTTATTTTCTTTATCTTTGTTGGTCTTTGATACCAATATTATTCTAGTTTTATTAAAATGTTTTTTGGGGGCACCTGGGTGGCTCAGTCAGTTAAGTGTTTGCTTTTGGCTCAGGTCATGATCTCAGGGTCCTGGGATCAGGCCCCACACTGGCTCCCTGCTCATTGAGGAGTCTGCTTCTCCCTTCCCCTCTACTGCTCCCCCTGCTTGTGCTCTCTCTCTCTGTCCAATAAATAAATAAAATCTTTAAATAAAATAAAAAATTTTTAAACCTTTCTCCTTGTTCTATATTCTAGAACAGTTTTAGTATTATTGGAGCTTTCTATGAATTAAGTGTTTTATAAACTCTCTGTGTGAGACCATTATGGATTTCCTCTTTATCATTGTTAAGGGACTTCCTTATCTTATTAAACACATTTTTGACATAAATTCAACTTTGTCTGATAAGAATATGGGTCTTGCTATATTTTTTGTTTGCATTTACTGATAAGCTTTCATGCATTCTTTTCTTTTCAACCCTTCCAAAGAAAAGTTGTACTTCAGCTATGCAGCAAAGTGTTCAGTTTTGCTTTGTAACCAAAAAAGTTTCCTTTTGTCAATAGAGGAGTTGAGCCTCATTGTATTTGTTTAAATGTCAGAAGCACTTGGGATTAATTCTGTCGTTAGCTTTTATACCATGCTCTTTATTGCTTCTAGTGTCTTCTTTTCAGTATGTGTTGGCTATGTGTATTTTTTTCTGATAATTGGAAAGTTTGTATTTTTTTAAACTGTATTTACATATATATATATATATATTAGTAACCTACATCAAATGTAGGGCTCAAATTCAGGACTCTGAGATCAAGAGTCATACAGTCTTCTGTCAGAGCTGGCCAGGGGCCCTGGAAGGTTTGCATTTTTATTCATATGTTAACCTTTATAACTTTATATAATACATTTACTGCTCTATTCCTTTAGGCAGTATTCATTAACTTCCTATTATAAACAATTACAAAATTTATATATTTCCACTTCCTCCATCCTTTCAAGCACTGCTTTCAGTAAATTATACCACTGTTTTAGTGTTTGCCTTACCCTTTACATCTTTAAGTACACCTAAAGCACTACATAATTTACCAGCTTTTTTAAAAAAAGATTTTATCTATTTATTTGAGAGAGAGAGAGAGCCCACAGGCAAGCATGGCAGAGGGTAGAGGGAAAGAGGAGAAAGAGAATCTCAAACAGACTCCCCACTGAGCTTGGAGCCTGATGTGGGACTCAATCTCACAACCTTGATACCATGACCTGAGCCAAAATCAGAAGTCAGATGCTCAACCCGCTAAGATACCCAGGCACCCATATCAGCTTTTAGTAATATGGCTTTTTCCAAGCTGGAAAAAGTATACTAAGGATACCAGATGCAACATTCCCTTTCTTTTCCCTTCCCTGTCTTCTAGCATTTCTTTAATGTCAGATTTATGACATTTACTGCTGTTCTGTTGTCAAAATCACATTCACTTTAATCCCACATTCAATGATTATCAAGCTGATAATCAACTTGATATTCTCCTTATATCTGTGACTTACAGTTTTGGCCCAATAATGTAACTAGGATATTCTTTATCATTGTTCCTTCTGAGTCCATTTTTCTGTTACACTGAGTGCCACTTCAAATCGTAGAGTCAAACCTTCTTTTATTTCCAGAAGTTTCTGGAAAGGATTTTTTATTTTCCCTTTGAGTTTTTTTGTTTCGTTATTTCAGTTGTCTTCTTTGGGACATGTGTGTGTGCGCGCATGTGTGCACATGTGCTGGTGATCTCCAAGACTTTTAAACTTTGCTTATTTCACTTTCATTTTGCAATTCTTTTTTTTTTATATATATATATTTTTTGAATTTTATTTTTCATAAACATATAATATCTATTTATCCCCAGGGGTACAGGTCTGTGAATCGCCAGGTTTACACACTTCACAGCACTCACCATAGCACATACCCTCCCCAATGTCCATAATCCCACG